CAAACTCAGAACCTCCTGAGGACAAGTCGGCTACTCTACCATTTGAGCTACCCGGCCTGTACCATATTTTCTTTTTGCTTATTTTATATACATTAAGCCACACCGTCCATTTTACGATAAGCATATTTAAAATTAAATAATATAGTTATATATGTGAAACATAGAAGTGAACTAAAAATAAAACCAAATCTTTCATAATTTTCCATTATGTCAGAAAATATTCGGCAAAATTACTGTATTATTACGGTAATTATTTGAAATTTTTTAGGTAAAATTTAGGCATCAATGCGGTAATTGTATAGTATATTTTTGGTAACTGTACAGCATAAGTAGATAAGCAAAGCCGGTTTGACCCCTCGATAAAGTAGATTTCTGCACTATCGACCTTGGGTTTCTGTCTTATCGACGGTCGTTGGTGGAGTTTCTGCGATATCGATGGTTGGTTTTTTGTGCTCTACTTACCGACTGTTGTTGGGGATTATCATCGATTTGTTGGTCGATTTTTTTACCGACTGTTGGGGGATTATCATCGATTTGTTGATCGATATTTACCGACTGTTGGGGTGATTATCATCGATTTGGTGATCGATATTTACCGACTGTTGGGGGATTGTCATCGATTTGTTGGTCGATTGTTTGAGGTCAAAATGCTACCACCCCAACAGCAGAGCTGATACCTTTACCGTGTATCAGCTTTGGTGTTGATGTGATATGCACTTATTTGATGTGATGATGAATTTTGTATATATTCAAATGACTTGTAGTATAAGTATATGCGAGAAAGACCGATACTTACGCCGCTCTGGTGGGATGGTCTGTTTATCGATTTGAGGTAAGTTTTATCGACAGTCTGATGTCAACGAGTGATCTATGTTATCGACTGCGAGTATCAACAGTCGGTACTATACCAAGTGGTGTTCTGTTTTATCGATGCGGGGGTAAGAGTTTTTTGAATTTTAACGTTTTTAGCCCCCTACTCTCTCGATTACATCATGTTTTTACGTCATCCGACAAGTTTAAACCTGTTTTTTAGGTCGTCGTTGGGAGGGGATCGTTGGTGGGGACTTATACTTACTTGCCTCCAAATTTCAGTCTATTATTATTATTATTAACTTTTTTCTATCTATTTCTTAGCTTAATAATTCAAAAATGGATTTGAGTGCTATCAATAAAATCAACAACTTACCGAACTTTCTACCAACTAAAAAGTTTGAAGAACTGCAACGAAACAAGATGTATCAAATCATGGAAATTAAGAAAGTCAACACAAAATATGGACCAAAAATTTTGGGAATTGTGGAAAACGAGTTTTCAATCTTCTTCCCGAATCGAAC